TCCCACATGGTCAGAGAAGATTGCAAAATTTCAGTATATTTTAATTTGAGCCTTGTTTTGTGACTTTTTAAATAAGATTTTTAAAAAGTAATCTCTGCACCCAGCATGGGGCTCGAGCTCACAACCCCAAGACCAAGAGTTGCACGCCCCATGGACTGAGCCAGCCAGGTGCCTGGAGCCTTGTTTTGTGACTTAACAAATGGTATATCTTGAAGAATGTTTCATGGGCTCTTTTTTTTTAATTTTTATTTTTATTTATGATACAGAGAGAGAGAGAGAGAGGCAGAGACATAGGCAGAGGGAGAAGCAGGCTCCATGCACCGGGAGCCCGATGTGGGATTCGATCCCGGGTCTCCAGGATCGCGCCCTGGGCCAAAGGCAGGCGCCAAACCGCTGCGCCACCCAGGGATCCCTGTTTCATGGGCTCTTGAAAAGAATTTTTTTTCCGCTGTCGTTGGGTGGAGTATCCTATATATGCCTGTTAGGTCTACTTGTTTTATAGTGTTATTATGAGCAAAATAAAATATTAAAAAATTAAGTCCTCTATTTCCTCATTGAACTTTGGTGTAATTTTTCCACATATTATTGAAAGTGGGGTATTGAAGTCTCCAAATATTATATTAGGACTTCTCTCTCCCTCCAATTCTGCCAATGTTTGCTTACATATCTTAAGACTGTTGTTAGGGTCTTTCCGTTTATGATTGCTATATATTCTTGATGGATTAACCCTTTCAACAATACATAATTTTTTTGGACTCTGGTAATAATTTTTCACTGAAAATCTATTTTGTCTCGTATTAGTAGAGCCACCCAGCTCTCTTTTGGTTGCTATCTATCCGCATGGAATCTCTTTTTCCATGCTTTCCCTTTCAATCTTTATATACCTTTGGATTGGATTGAAAGTGACTCTCCTACAGACAACATATAGTTGGATCTTGTAGAGTTCTTTTTATCCATTTTGACAGGTTCTGCCTTTTAATTGGAGTTTAATCCTTTACATGTAATTACTAATATTGAAAGACTGACTTTTGCCATTTTGCTATGTGTTTTCTTTCTGACATCTTTTTTTTCTCAATTTTCCTGTTACGGGGATCCCTGGGTGGCGCAGCGGTTTGGCGCCTGCCTTTGGCCCAGGGCACGATCCTGGAGACCCGGGATCGAATCCCACATCGGGCTTCCGGTGCATGGAGCCTGCTTCTCCCTCTGCCTGTGTCTCTGCCTCTCTCTCTCTCTCTGTGACTATCATAAATAAATTTTAAAAAATTAAAAAAAAATTGAAAAAAAAAATTTCCTGTTACAGCCTTCTTTTTTTAATCAATTTTTTATTCCCTTGTCATTTCCTTTCCGGTATATGCTTTTGGTATTTTCCAAGTGGCTACCTTGGAGACTACGACTAACACCTTCAATTTATAACAACTGTGTTAGTTTGCTAGGGCTGCTATAATCAAGTAGCCACAGCCTGGCAAGTTTAAACAACAGAAATTCATTTTTTCACAATTATGGAAGCTAGAAGTCTGTTATTAAGGTCTCACTTGGGTTTCTTTCTTGTGGATGGCCACCATCTCCTTGTGTCTTCACATGATCATCCCTCAGTATGTATCTGTGTCCCAGTCACCTCTTCTTATAAGGATACCAGTTATGTTGAATTAGGGCCCACTCTTATAAGCTTATTTTAAGTTAATTACCTCTTTAAAACTCTATATCCAAATAGTCATATTGTGACTTCAACATATGAATATATTAGGACTTCAACATATGCATTTGGGGGCATTCAGTTCAGCCTATAACAACAAACTAGTTTGAATTAATCAACTTTATGTCGATAATATGTAAACACTGTGCTCCCATACCTCTCTGTTCCTCCCTCTTTACCTTGTTATTGTTACAAATGCTATTTCATTGTGTGTCTATTAACATAGATTTTATAATTGTTGTAAGCATATGTCTTTCAAGTCACATGGGGGAAAAGTAGTTAAAATCCAAAAATAGGGACGCCTGGGTGGCTCAGTGGTTGAGCGTCTGCCTTTGGCTCAGGGCGTGATCTCAGAGTCCTGTAATCAAGTCCCACATCGGGCTCCCGGCATGGAGCCTGCTTCTCCCTCTGCCTGTGTCTCTGCCTCTGTGTGTGTGTGTGTGTGTGTGTGTCTCTCATGAATAAATAAATAAAATATTTAAAAAAATAAATAAATATAAAAAATAAAACCCAAAAATATAACAATACTGGATTTTATATATATATATCCATTTAGTTGCTCTTATCAGTGTTCTTTATTCTTCATACAGCTTTGGGTTGCTATCCATTGTCCCCATTCTCTTCTCTCCCAAGCGCTGGAAAACACCATTCTACTTCCTGTTTTTATGACTTTGACTCCTGTAAATACCCCATGTAAGTGGAATCATGTGGTATTTGTGAACCAACAGTACACAAGGGTTCCAATTTCCTCACATCCTTACCAACACTTGTTTTCTAGAGTGTTTTTTTAATGGTAGCCATCCCGATGAGTAGGAAGTGGCATCCCATGGTACCTTAATGGTCTTAATTCGCATTTACTTAATGATTAGTAATACTGAGCATCTTTCATGTGCTTATTGGCCATTTGTATATCTTCTTTAGAAAAATGCCTGTTCAAGTCCTTTGCCCATTTTTTAAAAGATTATTTATTTATTTATTTATTTGATAGGGAGAGAGAGAACAAACAAGGGGAGGTGTCAGGCAGAGGGGAGAGGGAGAATTAGGCTCCCTGCTCTGCCTAATGCTTGGCTTGATCCCAAGACTCTGGGATTGTGTCCTGAGCTAAAGGCAGATGCTTAACCAACTAAGCCACCCAGGCACCCCTCTTTGAATTGGATTGTTTGGGGGTTTTTGTTGAGTTTAGGAGCTCATATATATTCTGGATATTAACCTTTTATTACATGCGTAATTCACAAATTTTCTTTTCATTCTGTGGGTTGCCTTTTTACCCTGTGGATAGCATCTTCTTGATATACAACATTTTGAAATTTTCATGAAATCCATCTTGTCTAGTTTTTCTTTTGTTGCCTGTGCCTTCAGCCTCATATCCAAGAAATCATTATCAATCCAAAGTTATAAAGCTTATTTATTTATTTATTTATTTATTTATTTATTTATTTATTTATTTAAGAGAGAGAGAGAGAGAGCAAGCGCACAAGTAGGGAGAGCTGCAGGCAAAGAGAGAGGGAGAACCAGGCTTCCTGCCAATCAGGAGCTGGATGTGGGGCTTGATCCCAGGATCCTGAGATCATGACCTGAGCCGAAAGCAGACACTTAAATGAGTCACCCAGGTGCCCCAGTTTTAAAGCTTTTGTCCTATGTTTCTTCTAAGAGTTTCATCGTTTTAACTCTTATATTTACATCTTACATCCATTTTGAATTAACTTTTGTTTATGATGCTAGGTAAGAGCCCAACTTCATTCTTCTGCATATGAATATCCACATTTCCCAACACCATTTGTTGAAAAGACTGTCCTTTCCCCACTGAATGGTCTTGGCACCCTTGTCAAAAATCATTTGATTATATGTGTAAGAATTTATTTCTGGGCTCTCTTTTCTATTCCATTGGTCTGTATTTATGCTGATACCATACTGTCTTGATTATTGTAGCTTTATAGTAAGTTTCGAAGCCTTGTAGTGTCATTCCTCCAACTTTGTTCTTTCCTTTCAATATTGTGTTAGCTATTCTGAGTTCTTTGCTCCTCTATATAAACTTTAGAATCAGTTTGCCAATATCCACAAAATACTTTGCTGGGACTTTGGGATGCATTGAATCTATAGATCTGGCCTGAGGGTTGGATAGTGAGAGCACTCACGGTCACGTGTGACGAGATATGATAAGAGCTGGATTGGGGGAAAGGTGGTCAGTCTAATTTGGACATGGTGAATTTGAGATTCCTGTTGGACATGCAACTGGAAATGGTCAATAGGCAATTTAGGGAGAGCCAAGGAGCAGGTTTGGAGCTGAAATAGACTCGAACCTCACCAAATGGGCAGGAGTGGGAATTCACAATCTAGGAAGATGGCAAAGAAGGACCCAGGGTGCGAGTCTGGGAGTCAGCTGCTATGCATGGGCAGGGGTGAAAGGGAAGTCAGAGGAGGATAATGGAGGGTCTCAGGTGCCAACAGGAAGAGAGTCACTAAAAACAGAAGCTGACTCTATGTTGCATCCTGTAAAGACATAATGTACAACAGGAACTGGGGAATTGCCTAGGAAGAGGACCCTGTTGGCTCTGATCTGAGAGCTTTCAGAGAGAGATGGAGATGCAAATCAGGGAGGCCCGCCATGTGCCAGCATGTGAAACAGTGTCTGGAGCTACTGTTGGATGGATAGACAGGTGGGTGGGTGGATGGATGGATGAACGCATAGACAGTTGGATAGGCAGGTGGACAGAAAATAGTGGTCTGAGAGGTCAAAGGAAGCTTCATCAAAGAGGTAGGACTGAACTGTGTCTTGATGTGTAGAGAACAAGTGGGAGGTCTTCACACGAAAGCACTACGAGTTAGGAATGACCCAGTCCCAGACCAGTAAGTCCAGGGAGGAAGCCACCTGGCTGGATGATGGGACATTGTAGGAGAGGGATCCTCAGAAGCCCTATATAAGGAGACATCAGGAAGGTCTGAGCCAGTTAAGGACTTGCTGTGCCATACCACATGACAGGATGAGGCACCAAGGGATTTACTGAACACCTACTCCATGCAGTATCACTGTCAGCACTGAGGAATAAGAGGTGACCAGGGTAGCCTTGGAAAAGGGAGAAAGATACTAGACATGAGTGGAATCTGCCTCAATCTGGGGGCTGGGCCTGGGGACACCTCTGGGCTGTGGGCTCATCCTCTAGGAGCTTGGCTGCCCAGCCCCACCTGCTACAATCCTCTGCCCATCACAGGTTCCTGTTCTGGCCTGGCCCCCATGGGGCAGGCCCCAGGTGCTGGCCCGGTGGGTTTTGGCCTGAAACTCAGTCACCCTGGTTTGTGTTCAGTGAAGGAATCCAGCTCACCGTCCTAGGTAAGTGGTTCTCACCATGTTTCTCAACCTGTCCCACCCCTTTGTTGTCTCAGGAAAGTTATTTTTATTTGGGGGCTCCTTCTTGTCTGCCCTCCCAGCCTTAAGGACTGACTGCTAGCAGATTTGTGGGATCTGGGGGAAGTAGAGTGGTCTCAGGGAAACCAGCAAGAAGGACCCCAATGGTACAAGCATTTACCTTTAGAATCTGATTGTTGAATGTGTCCAGATTCCAGGGGCCTAGGCTGGGGGGAGTGATCCAAAAATGGGGACTCCTTACCTTCTAGGGCAGACACCTGTGTGGGGTCTAAGGCTGGTTCTGACTAGGGGCACTGGGGCAGCCTTAGAGAGAGTCCCTTGGGGTCTTGGCTGAGGGCTTGATGTCCACCCAGGCCATGGCCACACGGGAGGATGGGGTCATGGCTGGGGCTGTGACCTCAGCCTTTGGACACACAGAGGACACACACGCAGCCTCAGAGGAGGTCATGGAGAGACACAGGGCAATATGGTTTGCTCTAGGCTTGAGTGCTCAGGGCCTTTGCTAGGCTATGAGGACACAGGGACAGAGACACGAGTGATGCAGGACAAGATGACCAGAACCACAGCTCTCCCAGGATGTTGGTCAAAAGGAGCAGTTCCCATGGGTCAGAATCTTATCTGTCCCTGGTGCCCCATACCCCCAGGCCCCAGGTGTCCCACCTTCCTCAGAGGGTATTTTAAACTCAGGAGATGACAAAGTGGGGAGTGGCTGGGGGCTCAGAGCTACACAGCTGCCGCTTAAAGTCAGGAGTCATTAGAGGTGCTCAGGTGGCCGTGGGGCCACCGTGCCTGTCATCTGAGGGGAGTAGCCCCAAGAGGGCAGCAGAGGTGAAGGGTTCTGTGGTAGAGGCAGGAGGGATAGGGAGGATGGCAGGGCCTTGGGGTGTTCAGTCTTCCCAGGAGGCAGGGTCAGAGTCCCCTTTGAGGGGGACAGGGGGCTCCATGCCCACCGGGCACGAGGCCTCCATACGTGCCATCGGGGTGGTCCTGACAAGCTGGGTAGGGGACTCCAGGTCATAGGAGAAACACTGGGATCCAGAAGAATGAGGTTAAACAGGGGCCAGATGCTGGGCTGAGGAGGAAACTGAGGCTGCAGATGCGCGTCTCACACATCGGAGAGGTGACCTGGAAGGGCTGCTGGGAGCACGGGGGCTGCCTGCTGTCCTGGTTTGGGGAGGAATGGAGGGCCCCCTGGGTGACCAAGCGTGGCCACCGTGGGAACAGCCACAGAGGCTGTGGACAGGGGAAGGGCGCCCAACACCCGGACTCTCCCTGCAGCTCTTGCCCTCTCCTCGGGGCCCACAGGTCAGCCCAAGGCCTCCCCCTTGGTCACGCTCTTCCTGCCACTTTCGGGGGAGCTCGGCGCCGACAAGGCCACCCTGGTGTGCCTCATCAGCGACTTCTACCCCAGCGGCGTGACGGTGGCCTGGAAGGCAGACGGCAGCCCCGTCACCCAGGGCGTGGAGACCACCAAGCCCTCCAAGCAGAGCAACAACAAGTACGCGGCCAGCAGCTACCTGAGCCTGACGCCTGACAAGTGGAAATCCCACAGCAGCTTCAGCTGCCTGGTCACGCACGAGGGGAGCACCGTGGAGAAGAAGGTGGCCCCCGCAGAGTGCTCTTAGGTTCCCCATGCCCCCCACCCACCTAAGGGGGCCTGGAGCCTCAGGACCTCCAGGAGGATCTTGCCTCCCATCTGGGTCATCCCGCCCTTCTCCCCGCACCCAGGCAACACTCAATAAAGTGTCCTTCCTTCAATCAGAAATCGCGCTCTCTGCTCATTTGGGTTCAACACTTAGTGTCCTGAACTCAACCATCCTCAAATGTGAACATGATTCTTTCCCCCCTGTGGGAAAGGAGTCTGCAGAAGGCATTGTCACATTTTTTGAGGGGTGGTTTTACTCTTACCCAGAATTTCCCGAGAATATTCCAGAACAGGAAATACCAACAGCAGAACCAAGATAGAATGGGATGCCCAGGTGGCCCAGCAGTTTAGCTCCGCCTTCAGCCCAGGGCCTGATCCTGGAGACCCAGGATCGAGTCCCACGTCGGGCTCCCTGCATGGAACCTGCTTCTCCCTCTGCCTGTGTCTCTGTCTCTCTCTCTCTCTCCCTTTGTGTCTCTCATGAATAAATAATAAAATCTTAAAAAAAAGAACCAAGATAGAAGACCATCCTCTGCCATGTCTCTGTGCTTATGCTTGCGTGCACCTCATCAGTCACCAGCACCCTGAAGCCCACTGCCTTTGGCTCCCTATGGACTCCTGGATAAGGTCTGAGATCTTCCCTGGACCTGGGGCCTCACCGTTGGGGACAAGCTCCCTCAGAGATGTCCCCTCTCCTTTCCTTTATGGCCCCATTCAATGCCATGTTTTCTATGGTCTCCTACCCCATATGGACCTTTCCCATCGTCATAGCCTAGAGCATCCCTCCTTTCTTAGCGGTCCCCCTGCCCTTGCCTCCCCATTGATACCACCCTGTGCCCCTCTCACACAGGACTCTGTCACACTCACTACAAGACCTACAGTCCCTGCACCCTATTCACTCAATCGCATACCCCCACTGGGGGCCCCTCTTCCCACATCTGTCATGGGGGTCCCAGTTGTATTCAAAGCCTGGAAGGCAGGAGCCCCTTAGAATCCAATCCATCGCTGACCCCATCACAAGCACTAAACCAAAATGCCCATGGGTAGTCACTGGGGCCATGGGTTCAATATCAAGATTACATTCTGGATTGTGCCCTGGACAACTGTGGGTTGTGGGCTGACTCACCCTATAGGAGTTGGGAATGGGCCCTGAACCAGGTGGACTACTGTGCTAGGAGCTGGCTCAGCATGGTGGATGTAGGCTCACGGTCCCACAGACAGACTGGACATGCGTGCATGCACAACATGCACACTCACAGGCACAATAAACTCAAATCCACACACTAGTACACACTCACGCACGTGCTATTGCACACATGGTCATGTTGCACGTGTGTCTAGGCTGTGTGGTGGCATCCAGAACCCTCCATGGCCCTCAACTCTGTAGGAAGCACAGGCCTCACTGTGTCTGTGTTGGAAACAAGACTGTCACGTCTTCCAGGTGGCATTCCCCAAGCAAGCTGGGCCACAGACAGAGCTCCGTCCAGGAAGTTACCTAAGATGGGATATGTCACTCAGACATCCCTCCTACCCTCCATGTCTGGGGATGGGAGGAAGCTCACCCCTCCAAGAAGTGAAGGGACGGTGGGGAGGGGGTCCCCCTCTCAAGCTTTCATGGGCCAGACCAGCCCCCACAAAGAGGAGGCTGGACTTCGAGCCTCCCAAGCAGCTGCAGGTGGACCTGGCTTTGGTGGGGAGGGTGGCAGGGATGACAGAAGGTTGGGTTTGAGGCTGTGTCACCGTGTTATGTGTTCAGTGAAAGGATTCAGGTGACTGCTTTCTCTCTCTTTGGGGACCAGAGTGAAATTTGGATTTGAATGTCTCTGCTTTCCAGTCAGTCTAAGACTGGGATTTGAATCATTCTGGCATCCTGGAAACTTCACCTTTTTGTCTGGCTATCTCACCCCTTGTAGCCTATTCCTGCTCTGAAGCACCTGGTGTGGACAGGATGGGCCAGTTCCAGTGACCCCGTCCTGTCCCTCCTCCTTGTGGCTCAGAGCTGCTCCTCCAGTTGACCATCTCCTCTGGCCTCTGGGGTAGAAGGAATCTTCATTTTTCCTTATGGGGTAGTTGCATTCTTACTCAGAATAGCCCAGAGAATGTTCCAGAATAGAAGATAGGACAGGACGGCCCACCCTCAGCACCTTCCCTATATTTACCTCTCTTGTGTAGACCACATCCACCCCCAACAGTCTTGGGGCCCACTGCCCATGGTTCCCCAGGGCCTCCTGGCTAATGTGTAAGCTCCTCCTTCTCCTTGGAAGGGACAAGAGCCTGAAAAACAGAAACCATGTTGAAGACAGACCGACAGAAGCCCTATATGAAGACACTAAGGAGAGCTGCCAGGGAAAGATCTCAGACAGATTGATGCTGTAGGACAGACAGATTTCTCACAGAGCTCTAGGATCTCGAGACTGATGCCAGCCAGGAACGGGGAGCTCAAGGATGGGGTGGCGAGTTAGGAGGACAGGTGAATCTGCGGAGGGCCCGAGGCCAAAGAGAGGGTGCAGGGATCCCCTGAGCCAGGCATCGGGGTGCTCCCAACAGTGTTGGGGGGCTCCTGCCAGGCCCCACGCCCACATCCCCAGCCCTGCTCCCGGTGCCAAATCAGCTTTCAATAAACTGTCCTTTTGTCAATCAGAAATCATGCCCTCTTAACTGGGGAGGGGGGGCGTCCTCATATTTAATTTGCAACCTCTCCAGGATTCTAGGGTGAGGTGTATGGGATCCTTGGCACCCGCTAGGAAAGTAGCCCAAGAGGAGAGGCTCACAGTCTCCCTGGTGGTGCCTCCCGGGAAACTGGCCTGGACATGGGAAGTCTGGTCACTAGGACCTCAGTCCCTCTGTCCTCTCCTTCTACTATTCTTCCTCCAGCACAGAACCAAGCCCACCTCCTGCTCTCTCTGCTTGGAGCTGCCCATGGCTGGTGACCTCCAGACAAGCCCTCCCTCCCTGACCTTGTGGAGACCCTCTACATCCCGGTGTCCTCTCTACCCTCAGCCTGGAAGCCCTGCTCGGGCCTGGACACCTCTGCTCCTGGCCCTCGCCTCCTGTATGCCCTCCTCCCCCACCGCCCAGCTCAGCTTCTGCCCACCTTTACCCCCTCCCTGTCGTTCCCTCAGGCTGGACCACCCATGGGGCCCAGGACATTCCAGCAGCTCGGCTTCACGGGCTCTTAAATCTGGGAACCACTTCAATTCCTCACCCGATGGCAGATTCAGAGATGTAAGAGGAATAGGAGGAAGCCAGGAAGGAAACTCACACAAAATCCCTGTCGGGAGGCTCAGATACTTGCCAAAATAAGCTCTGAGCTCCCCAGGAACCAGCGCAAGAAGGGAAATAGGTGCCTCACAATTTATCTGAGAAGAAACAAAACCTTTGCTGGAGGGCCCCTGGCCAGGCATCTTGTACCATAATAAAAAGTGGGATGTGTTTTACCAGAGGCCTCCCCACTGATGGGACTCGGGCTCTGACACACACACAGATGACTACCTGGCAACCTCGGGATATGGCAATGACCATGAGGATTGCTACCGCTGCTCCTCCCTGGGGACACCCCCCTCCCCGCCGTGTTCCTGTCTCCATTACCACCAGGTCACCATGGCTGGCCACATAGTCACAGTCCCCCGATTTGGCCCAGTGTGGCCCAGGCAGGCAAGCTCCTGCCCTCCGATCCAGAATGGACCCCTGGCGCCAAGTCACAGCTCCTTGCACCCAGAGCCCATGCCCACTCTACCTGATGGCCCCTCGGGTATTCCGGGCCTATGAGCCACTCCCTGACTCATGCCCCAGCTCTGCCAAAGAAAGATGGGGTTCTGTCTCAGGTGTGTGACTCAGAAAGTCACCTGCCATCTTCTGGGGGAGAGGAGGGTATTATTTATTCAGAATTAGCTCCATTTGGGCAGCCTGGGTGGCTCAGTGGTTTAGCACCGCCTTCAACCCAGGGTGTGATCCTGGAGCCCTAGGATTGAGTCCCACATCGGGCTCCCTGCATGGAGCCTGCTTCTCCCTCTGCCTGTGTCTCTGCCTCCCTCCATCTCTGTGTGTGTGTGTGTGTGTGTGTGTGTGTGTGTCTCTTATGAATAAATAAATAAATTTTTTTTTAAAAAAATTAGCTCCATTCAATCCTGGACATCACTGAGAACACCAAGGTCCATCTGGGGACTTTCTCTGTGGCACTGTGGGCCTCCAGGGGCCTCTGGGCATCTGGGATCCTGGCTGCTTTCTGACTCAAGTGGGGTGAGAGGACCCAGTCCCAGTACCCTCAGCCCTTCGGGAATCCTGGGCTCCCGCTCCTCCCCTGCACTCTGGGGGGCTGGAGGGGGTAGGTCAGGTGTGTCACTGTGGGTGGTGGCCACGGCCAGGTTGATGGCGACCCCCGGCTGAGGGCTGCTTGAGGGCTGTGCCTTAGCATGTGGTGCCCAGACCAGCAGAGAGCCCGACGTGGGACTCGACCCGGGACCCGGGATCACGCCCTGAGCCGAGGGCCGACGCTCCACCGCAGGGCCACCCGCGCGCCCCTCCCTCGGACTCTCCAGTTCCCAGTGCGGGCCCCGTGCCTGTGCGTCCACCAGGGGGTCCCAGCAGGCCCGCCGGGGCCGCAGACTCCTGAACAGAGCCGGGGTGGGTGCTGGGCGCCCATTTCACAGACGGGTTGGCTAAGGCTCCGACAGCGTGCCCGGGTCGCAAGGCAAGCTCCAGGGTGGTTGTCAGCCCCCCGTCCCGCTCCTTCCTTCCAGGCCCTCAGTGAGCCCTGCTGCGGGCGGTGGCGGGAGCAAGGAGCGGGCAGGGCGGCCCACCACGGCTCACCCCAGAGCAGCTCTCCAGCCAGGAACCCTGGAAGCCCACGCTGCTTCTCACTCACTTGGGATAAGATTGAACCAACAGAAACATCAGCAAATGCCCGCCTTGGCGTCCCCGTTAGGGCTGTCAGAGCTCCTGTCACTGAAGGTCACTGACCAGGAGGGCTGCCCCAGTGGGGGGGACCCCAGGCAGGCAGGTCCCCACTGGATGGAGGAGAGTAGCCGGTCTGGGGGGTCCTAGCAGTAGGATCCAAGGTGGCCCCCTGCCT